GAACTCGATCTACTCACTAAGTGGCTTAGTGGGGAGTCTCTCCAACATGCTCTGAGAATCAGGGCTGTCCATGTTAACGATCCAGAAACAGGTCTTCAGCGTTTATGGCAAAGGCTAGACAAGATTTATGGCTCATCAGAAGTTATTGAAGCTTCTCTGTTTAAACGCCTTGAGATCTTTCCCAGAGTTACTCAGAGGGACAACCACCTTCTTCAGGAGCTTGCAAATCTCCTCCTGGAACTTGAGGCAGCAAAAAACATAGGGTATCTGCCAGGCCTCAGCTTTCTCGACACTCCAAGAGGCATAAACCCAATTGTGGAAAAACTCCCTGCAATACTCTGCAAGAATCATGGATCAAACAGGGGTCCAAGTATAAGAAAGAACACAGAGTGCACTATCCGCCTTTCTCCTACTTTGTCCAGTTCGTGAGTAGCCATGCTGAAATGAAAACTGACCCCAGCTTCATTTTACAAAATTACAGCACTGGGCACATGAAGATGGAAAGGCCATTGGTGAGACAATCACGTTTCAGAGCCCCGGTAACAGCAAACAAAACACAAGTTGGCACACCTAGCAACAAATCTAACACTCACTCTCTTGATCCCGAGAAGCAGTGCCCAGTACACATGAAGCCCCATTCGCTGGCAAAATGTAGAGGGTTTAGGATGAAAACACTGGATGAGCGGAACAGGCTGCTCAAAGAGCTCTTGATCTGTTACAAGTGCCTCTCATCAACAGAGCACAGGGCCAAAGACTGTAAGGCTGATATTCGTTGTCTGGAGTGCAATAACGATACTCACATCTCCGCCATGCATACCGGGCCACCCCCTTGGACAAGAGGGAGCTCTGACCCTACACCAGTCATGCACGGCGGGGAGCCAGACATCCCAAGCTCCACAGTGACCACATCTAACTGTACTGAGGTATGTGGACAGGGACAACAAGGACGGTCTTGTTCCAAAATTTGCATGGTGAAAGTATATCACAGCACAGCCCCTCAATTGAAAAGGAAAATGTATGCAATTTTAGACGACCAAAGTAACGTGTCACTGGCTCGTTCTCCCTTTTTTGACTTGTTTAATGTACATGGTGAAGCCTTCCCATACACGATGAAAACATGTTCTGGCACAATGAACAAAACAGGCCGTAGAGCTCACGGCTTTGTCATCGAGGGTGTTGACGGAAAGGTGTCCATACCATTACCAACACTGACAGAGTGTAATCAGATTCCGGATAACAGGAGTGAGATACCCACCCCAGAAGCTGCAGCTGCTCATCATCACCTAGCTCACATAGCCGCGCAAATACCCCCACTTGATTCAGAGGCAGATATTCTCCTCCTCGTAGGCCGTGATGTAATTCAGGCTCACAAGGTTCGACGCCAGGCAAATGGGCCCAATGAAGCACCTTATGCTCAAAAGCTTGATCTTGGATGGGTAGTTGTCGGGGATGTCTGTCTCTCGGGAGCTCACAGACCCACAGCGAGCTCCTACAAGACAAACATACTGGATAATGGCCGCCCCAGTCTTCTCTCTCCCTGGGGCAACAGAATCTACACAAAGGTGAAGATCACAGAAGAATGCCCCCTTTTTGAGAGCACACAGGTCAATGATAAACTGGGCAAACACATCTTTGAGCAAACTACTGACGATGACGATTTGGCACTCTCTGCAGAAGATAAGTCGTTTCTGGACATTATGCGCAGAAAGTTCACTAAAGATGATGCAAATAACTGGGTTGCCCCACTGCCTTTTCGTCATCCCCGACGTCGCTTGCCCAACAACAGAGAGCAGGCTTTCAACCGCCTCATGTCCATATGAAAGACATTAAAGAGAAAGCCAGAGATGAAGGACCATTATGTGGAGTTTATGAAAAGGATCTTCGACAAAGGTCACGCAGAAAGGGCCCCCCCTCTCAAACGCCACCAAGAATGCTGGTATCTCCCACACTTTGGTGTCTACCACCCCCAAAAGGTAGCAAAAATTAGAATAGTCTTCGATTCGAGCGCCCAGTTCGAAGATGTGTCCCTGAATCAAGTACTGTGTAAGGGCCCAGATCTCAATAACAGCCTTGTGGGTGTGCTGCTCAGATTCCGAGGTGACCCACATGCTGTGATGGCCGACGTGGAGCAGATGTTTCACAACTTCATGGTCAGAGAGGACCATCGTGATTATCTGCGTTTTTTGTGGTTCCGCGATCACGACCTGGATGGAGAAGTGGGCGAGTTTCACATGTCAGTTCATGTTTTTGGGAATTGCCCGTCCCCCTCAGTTGCTATCTATGGACTCAAGAAAACTGCTGTGGAGGGAGAGAAAGAATATGGCAGCGATGTAAGGGAATTTATTGAGCGTCACTTTTATGTAGATGACGGGCTAAAGTCATTTCCCTCCGAGACCCAGGCGATCGACGTCCTTCGCAGAACACAAAAAATGCTGGCTCAGTCTAACATCCGTCTTCACAAGATTTCGTCCAACAGCCCTGTAGTCGTCAGTGCCTTCCCAAGTGAAGATCTAGCCACAGATCCGCAGGAATTCCAACGTGGACAACATGCCCCACTCATTCAACGCAGCCTAGGCCTAGGCTGGGACCTGTCCAAAGACCAATTGTCATTTCGAGTTGAAATCAACGACAGGCCTTTCACCAAACGTGGTGTATTGTCAGTCATCAACAGTTTGTATGACCCACTTGGCTTCGCTGTGCCAGTCAGCGTCGAAGGCTGCTGCATTTTGAGAGAAATTTCTATGGACATTGGCGAATGGGATGCACCGCTGCCAAGA